GAAAAAAAAAAACAAAAACAAAAAAGGGAAAGAAGATCCCTATTTGTCCAGTCAGGATTTGATTTCTATCATGACACTCAAATTGCTGCCAGCAATCCACCCATGACCTCTATGTTCCTAAATCTGGTTGTCATTCTCAGTCCTCAGCTTTTTAACCTTTCAACAGAATTTCTTTTCTTCTTTCCTTTTTTTTTTAAATTTTTTTAATTTTTTCTTTTTTTGGACAGGGCCTTATTTTGTAGCCTGGAGTGCAGTAACCATAGCTCACGGCAACCTCAAACTTCTGGGCTCACGTAATCCTCCTACCTCAGCCTCCCAAGTAATTGGGACAACAGGAATGTGCCACCATGCCTGGCTGTTTTTAAATAGAGATGGAGGTCTCACTATGTTGCCCAGGCTAGTCGCAAACTCCTGGCCTCAAGAGATTCTCCCACCTTGTTCTTCCAAATTGCTGGAATTACAGGCATGAGCCACTGCACCCGGCCCCTTTCAACAGAACTCGACACCATGAATCTCTCCCTCCTCAAAGTACTTTCTTCACCAATATAGCATCTTCTCTTGGTTTTCTCCTCCATCAATGGTCATTTCTTCTTAGCCTCTTTATCTGGTTCCTGCCCATATTCCTTATCTCTTACTGGGGGAATGGACCAAGGCTCAGACCTCCATCCTCGTTTCTATCTATACTCACTCCTTTGGAGTTTGCATCTATCCTCAACACTTTAAATACCGCCTACTTACCAACAACTCTCAAGTTGTATCTCTTGCCCAGATCTCTCTCCTGACCTATATATCTTCCAATTGACACGTTCAAACTTAAATTCTTCATTCTCCCCAACAAAACCTGCTTCCATTTTCATAACAGCTGGAAGCAATTACATCCTTCCAGTTGCTCAGACAAAAATCCTTGGAGTCATTCTTAACTTCTCCCTGTTGGCTCTGTCTTCAAAATATATACAAAGTCGGTACTCCTTTTATCACTTCTCCTGCAAGCTGCCATCTTGACTGAGGCAACCAGCTCTCTCCCAGATTATTGCAGTAGGGTACTGTTTTGTTTCCTTGCTATTCCCTGTCATCCTCCCCATACAGATTACTCTGGCTAAAAGATTCACTATCTTAATCTTTTAGAAACTTAAACTGAATCATGCCATTCCTTTTCTCAAACAACTGCAATGGCTTCCCGGTTCGCTCGGAATTAAACCCAGATGTCTTACAGCTACCTCCAAGGTCCTACATAATCTGCCTATAGCCCTTTCTCTGACCCTAAACAGCTACCTTTTCTGGCTGAATTTATCTTCCCTCTGCTCATTTGATTTATCCACAATTATCTCCTGGGACTTCCTTGGCTGAAGATTACCTCCTTAGGGTCCTTACTTTAGCTGATTCCTATGCCGGATAGGATCTTTCCCCAGAATATCTGCTTGTTTCATTCCTTTATTCTCTTTTAAGTCATTGCTAAAATCTCTTCTTCTCAATAAGGCCTTTCCTGACCCCTCTATTTCTTATTGAATCCCGGATTTAACCACTTCCTCTTTAATTTGCTCTCCTTTTTTTTTTTTGAGATGGAGTCTCACACTGTCGCCCAGGCTGGAGTGCAGTGGCGCAATCTCAGCTCACTGCAAGTTCTGCCACCTGGGTTCACTCCATTCTCCTGCCTCAGCCTCAGTAGCTGGGACTACAGGCGCCCGCCCCACGCCTGACTAATTTTTTTGTATTTTTAGTACAGACGGGATTTCATCGTGTTAGCCAGGATGGTCTCGATCTCCTGACCTCGTGATCTGCCCGCCTCGGCCTCCCAGAGTGCTGGGATTACAGGTGTGAGCCACTGCGCCGGGCCTGCTCTCCATTTTTTCTCCATTTACAGCTGTAGTTAGTTTCAAGCATTCTATATAATTTAAATTATGTAAATATTTATGATAATTGCTTATTCCATCATTACCTGCCCCTATGTCCCTGCTAAAATATAAGTTTCATTAAGGCCGAGATCTTCTTCTGTTTTGTTTACCCATATACCCTTGGTGCCTACAACCACCTTTGGCCAGTAGTATACACTGAATAAATGTTTATTACATAAACAAAATAAAGCAAGGAACATAAAAGCATGAGATGGAAAAGAGTATCTGTGCTTTTAGCCTCAGTTATAATTCATGAAATTCTGCAAAAATTGCTTGTATTCATACTGCTGTATATGGAAAAATATCCATAGTATAAGATGATGTAAAGTCACACAGTTTACACATGCAAACACATGCAGCAGTAATCACATAGAAAGTGGGGAAGCAATGCCTTTTGTTTAAGTAGGTAAATAGTTTTTCTCCCCAAATTCATGCAAAACCCTCTATGAAGAAGGATTATTATTTAATAAGGAGACTCTCAGAGACTCTCAATCTTATGATACTGGAAAAAATTACTCATCGTGCTACCAAAGGAGGTATCTAATTTGGAAAGATCTCATTTACTTATAGATTGTTTTGTTATACATGTTTTAAATTATAGTTCTTTAAAACTAAAGAGCAAAACATGGTTCAAATTTTTCATGCACAGCAACCATAGTGATGTCCAAATCAGGGTCACAACAGTAAAACTCTTTAGGATAAGTGACTCATGCTGACACTATGTTATTGTCCAAATGCTTCTCCAAATCAATGTGTGCTTAAAATTAATTTTATTTAACGGGGTTTCATGTCCCTCTTGCCATGTAGTTACAACAGAGGGGCATCACTAGCTCTTGCTGTCTGGGTCAGTCATGTAAACATGGTAAAATTTCTACAAGCAAATGACAGCTCTGGAACTAACTGGAGATTTACAGAAGTGTATATATCTGATTGGCACTCTCCTTTTCTTTCTGGATCTGAAGCAGCATGCCAGCTCTCCTGGGGACTGGCAAGCTGAATGCAGTGCAGACAAACCCTGTAAGCCTTAAAACTCAGCACCTCCATTTCCTGTCCCTCAGCAGCTTGGAGCAGAAGAAAGGATGCCTGTGGCAGGCTTGGTGCACGATGTTAACGCTGGCTGTGGAGCATCCTTTTTCAGTCTGCAGTGTAGGGCATGAGAAAATGCAGCTGACAACATGAAGCCATCACAGTGTACTCAGGCTCCAGGACTGACAACAGCATGTCTAGATGGAGTGAGAAGAAACTAACCAATAAAGGCAGGGGCTTATGGGTAACGAGACCACCCACTAACTAATCCCAAAGTACTCCTGTGGAGAAGACTGTCATTCTCTTTTTGACTTAGGTAACAAAATGTCTTCATGTGACTGGTCCCAGGCTCAGAGGCCTGGTTTTCCCTCTCTGTTCTTCCTATGTGCAATTTTTGGCAACACCCAGTCTCTTTGGGCCATATTTTTCTTTACAGTTTAAACAAAAGAGCTGAACACAGGTTTTTTGTTTGTTTGTTTGTTTGTTTGTTTTTATGCTTTTCTTCCAGTTTGAATATTTTGTGACATCACAAGTCAAATTGTGATACTCCAAATAGTGGCCAAGTGTCTCCTTCTCCAATCTTACCTATTAAACCAAAAATGAAAAATACCATTTTGGTAAGGAAGCAATTGTTCCTGCTATTATTCAAGAAATGCTCATCATGGCCAGCCACAGTGGCTCACATCTATAATCCCAGCACTTTGGTAGGCTGAAGTGGGTGGATTGCTTGAACACAGGAGTTTAAGAACAGCGTGGGCAACATGGTGAAACTCCGTCTCTACAAAAAAATAAAATTTAAGAATTAGCTGGGTGTGCCTGTACTCCCAGCTACTCAGGAGGCCGAGGCAGGAGGATCACTTGACCCTTGAAGGCAGACGTTGCACTGAGCCGACATCATGCCACTGCACTCCAGCCTGGGTGACAGAGTGAGACTGTCAAAAAAAAAAAAAAAAAAAAAGCTAATCACATATTCAGTGCAGGTATTAGTATATTTTTCAGTCTAATATATTCAAGTCTATTTGCTTCTTAGAAGACGTATTTATTTCCTCACCATATTACTCACTATACTGCTCTTGATTTGTGTAGCTCCTGTTGAGTCCAATGAGGGCAAGACCTCTCCATCCCTAGTATTAGTTCAGCATAGAGTCCACACTGATAAATACATGTGGACTAGTATGAAGCCTTTGTACATACACATGCACACGTGTATGCACACACACAGCCAGCTAGGACATGAATTTTTATAATAAATACACTATGATCTGGCCATTTTGTCTTGTTATCCTCATAATGAGCCAAAATGGAAGTGCCTCCCGTCCCCTGCCAAAAATAAAAAAAAGCTTTCCCTATGACTATGTATTTTCAGAGAAGTGAATGGTCATCTTCTGGTCTCACACATAGCCCAGTAAAATTCCCCAATAGAGAATCCAATGTAGGAATGAGAACCTGGGTTTCTTAGCTTAAAGAAGGCTGCCATTATGGCTCCAAGAATTTTATTTCTTCTCTTCCCTTTTTCTCTATCACTTTCTGCTCTTACTTCATTTCCTCATTTATATTTTGGGCCTACTACTACCAATATAAAGAAGTTGTAGTAATAAGTTAAAAAGTTAAAGATTAGCACGGGACCTGGCTTTCATTTACTCATTATTTCAATGCAATCAGATGTATACTTACTGACATCCTGTGGTTCCCAGACACTGGGCTGGGTGGTGGGAATAAAACACTAAGTTGGACAGAGTCCTCTCCTCCCAGAAACAAGATACTAGTAAGGGGCAGAACCAAGTTATAGCACAGGTAAAAAGTTAAATGATAGGAGAAGGGGCTAATGTGGGAGGATTTGCGATGCGAAGGGGATCTCTTAAACGATAAACCAGAGCAGGTCACTCCTCAACTTTCCCAATGTTTCCTTCCCACTTTACTTACGACCAAAGCCAAAGTCCTTACAGTAACCAACAGGACTTTCTGTGAGCAGAGCTCCCATCACCTATGTGACCTCATCTTTTCTTCTTACCCTTTCCTCCTAGTTCACTCCAGCCACTCCGGCCCTTCCACTCCTTAAAGACAGTGGCCCACACCTATCTCAGGGCCTTTGCACTTGCTGTTTCCTCTATCTGGAATAGTATTCTCCCAGACAGTCTCATAGCTAGACCCCTCACTTCAGTCAGCTCTTGACTTTATGACACCTTCCCAGTGGGGTCTTACCTGGATTTTGCCAAAACTTCAACATTCCCACCCTCCAACATTTTATATTGCCCATCCTGCTTCACATTTATTTATGCTTAGCTCTTATCACTATCTAACATACTATGTAATTTACCTATTTTCTTGTTTATTGCCTGACTTTTCCAGGAGAGGGGTAAATCCCATGACAGAAGGCTCTTTTATTTATTTTGCTCACTGTAGTATCTCCAGGGCCTAGAACAGTGCCTGGCACATTGTAGATACTCAATGAATACTCTGTGAATGAATGAATGAATGAAGTGTCACAAAATTCTTCCCAGAGGAAGTGGGCAATTGAAAACCAACTTGAAATCTAAAGAATGAGACTGAATTATCCCAGCAAAGGGAATGGAGGATGGTGAGAAGGAAGGGGAACAGAAAGAGCATTTCAAATAAAGAGATTTGGAGTACATCAAGATTTTGGTAAAGCTGAAGGCTGAGGGCCAAAGGTTCAACAAGAGAAGATAAGGTGCGGCTAGAAAAGGAGGCTGGGACCACATCCTGCAGGGCCTTGGAAGCCATGCAAACAAATTTGCACTTTACTCTTATAGCAATGGAGGATGTTTGAGAAATTATAATCAGAGGACAGATATTCTTTCTAACTAAAAATAAAATCATCATGACTAGAGTAAAAAGGGGTAAGGCTGGAGGCAGAGAGATTGGCTAGTGGGTAGAAGAGGGATGATGTGTGTACCAGAGTAGTCGTGATGGCACTCAAGAGAAGCAGAAGCTTCTAGGGTCAATTAGAAGACTTTGTAATTGATATTTATGTGTATGATACAATAATATCTGATTAAGTCATAGAATTATTAATTATATGCAATAAAGATTACATGTATTTCTAGGGTGGGTCAAGGAGAGGAAGATAAGAGAGAAGAAAGGGTCAAAGGTGATAACCGAGTTTCTGGCTTGGGTAACTGTAGTATCAGATATTAGTAGTATCAGACAGATAATAATTAAAGAGCATGTAGTATAAACATGGCCAAATTTTTTGACACTCCTCTCAATGACAGGTAGGGTTTGTAAACCAAAAAGTATCTGAGACAGCTCTCAATTGGTTTAGAAGTGTACTTTGCCAAGGTTAAGGACATGCCTTTGACATTAAGATGTACATTCTGTGTCCTGGAAAGGCAGGACACATGGAAGTTGGGTCGGTGGGGGGTCAGCACTTTCAGGTCACAGGTGTATTCAAAGATTTTCTGACTGGCAATTAGATGACTCTCTTTAAATACCCGGAATGAATAGAAGGGAGTGTCTGGGTTAAGGTGAAGGGTTGTGGAGACCAAGGTTTTTATTACACAGGTGAAGCCTCCAGGTAGTAGGCTTCAGAGAGAAGAGATTGTTTTAAGGTTTCTGTTTTAATATTAATGCTGGTCAGTTGTGCCTCAGTTTCAAAGGGAGGATGGTATAATGTGGCATGTCTGACCATCCATTCCCATCATGGCCTGAACTCGTGTTTCAGGTTAACTTTGGAATGCTCTTGGCTGTGAGGGGGTTCCATTTAGTTGGTTGGGGGCTTAACATTTTATTTTGCTTTACAAGTCCTATGTCCCTTCCTCTTAAATTTGGGCAGAGTTTGTGACTTCTTTGTCCAACAAAATATTGCAGAAGTGATGCTGTACCACACTGAAAAATAGTGGCAGTTTCTAGCTGTGCTATCTTGGATCCAAACAATCAATGACCCCATACAATAGACCCAGTCAAGTTCCCAGGAGACAGCCAGCACCAGTCATGTTAGTAAGATATCTTGAACGTAGATACTTCAGCCCACTTGAGCCACCGCAGCTCACACCACCTGGAGCAGAGTCAAGCCTTTTCTGCTGAGCCCTGCCCAAATTGCAGATTTGTGAACCAAATAAGTAATTGCAATTGTTTTAAGCCAGTAACTTTAAGGGTGGTTTGTTGTTACAAGCTATGGATAACCAGAAAAATGAGAAAAAGGCAACAAGAAAAGAAATTGTCATGATTTTTCTGTGTGAAACCACATAGGGTTAAGCAGTTGTGGTTGCCTAATTATTCCTACTCTGTGGGATGTCACAAGAAAGAAGAGAGCGCCCTTTACTATGGGGTACACTGTTACTTTGGGATGATCTTGAAAGGAGTTAATTCTGATACAAACTAAGAAGTGATGTAACAGAATATATTAAATACTTAAAGATCATACTTTCGTTTTGTTTCAACCACTGGAGGGAATCCAATCCCAAATTAATATAACAAAACCAAAAGCTTGCTTAAAAAATATTTTATCAGATTCCAAAGTTCAGCTTGTGGTAGGGTGTACTGGAACCCTTTAATACTTACTCTAGTAAAGACATTCTTTTCATTTTGTAAGTGAACAAAAGAAGACAGAGTGAGCCCCTCTGGAACTGCCTAAGTTATTGGTAGACATTGTCCCTATATTAAGTTGGAGATCGATAAGGCTCCAGATCAATATCAGAGCTTCATGTCAGGGGACAGTACATGTATGTGACAGATGCAGTCAGGTAGGAAAGGAAAGTAAACAACTCTTTGTTTTTATTTGAACTACTTTTTTTTTAAGTGAGTCAGATATAGACAGTTCATTTTAAGTGCTGGTATTCAGAGCTGGAATGTGAATGGGATTAAAGTAGTTTTATTAGAGAAAGGGGAAGCCCAGAGGGAAAAAGGCATGAAAAACTCAGTGACTTCAAAAGCTGACATCAGTCGGACATGCTTACCACAGAGCCAGAAACCATCTAGGTAGACTTCAGCTAAAGGCTCTATAAACCCAAGTATTCTATTATCATCCTAATTACTGTCTTCACTGAAAAGGAAGAAAACACACCCACATTGTAGACATACTGCTCAAATTATGCATGTGCCCTGGAGCTTAAGAAAGGTTAGATATGTCTCTTGGTTTTTCATGAATCTAACTTAGACTCATCCATTCAAGCTATTAATTACTAGCATTTCCCAAATGTAATTTACAATCTTTTTAGGAAATGGGTTGTTGCATATT